ACAGCACCTCAGTGTGGCCTGATGAGCACTGCCATGTCTGCGCCCAGGATCCAAATCGGTGAAACCCTGGGCTTCCCTAGCAAAGTGCATGAACTTAACCACTCTACCACGTGGCTGGACCCATCCTCTGCCCATTTTTTGATCGAATAGTTCTTTTTTTTGTTGCTGAGTTGTATGAGTTCTTTGTATTTTGGAAATTAACCCCTAGTGGATGTATGATTTGCAAATATTTTCTCTCAGTTGCTGGGTTATCTTTTCATTTTGTTCATGGTTTCTCTTGCCGTGTAGAAACTTTTTACTCTGGTGTAATCTCATTTGTTTATTTTTTCTTTTGTTTCCCTTGCCTGAGTAGACATGGTATTCAGAAAGACTGATGTCAAAGACTGTAAAGAGTCTATTGCCTGTATTTTCTTCTAGGAGTTTTATACTTTCAGGTGTGACATTCAAGTCTTTAATCTATTTTGAGTTCATTTTTATGTATGGTGTAAGATAATGGTCTACTTTCATTCTTTTGCATGTGGTTGTCCAGTTTTCCCAACACCTTTTATGGAAGAGACTTTCCCTTTTCAATTGTATGCTCTTGGCTCCTGTGTCAAAGATTACCTATCCACAGACATGTGGTTGTATTTCTGGGCTCTCAATTCTGTTCCATTGATCAGTGACTGTTTTTCTGCCAGTACAATGCTGTCTTGATTACTATAGTTTTGTAGTATAATTTGAATTCAGAGAGTCAACACATTAATTTTTATGGAACACAATTTAACCCATAACAGAATGGCTATGTTGATGCCATAAAAAGCCAAATTCAAAATATGTGTTTTTTCAAGACAATGAGAGAGCGGTCTAGAGAAAAGAGAAAAGAAGAAAAGGAAAAATGTTATTCTCAGACAAGTATTGAGTCCTAGGTTGTATGCTCTGTCTTATCTTCCTCCTGAAATGCCGTGATTTTATAACTTGAAAGCCATTCCTTCTCTGTCTCTGAGATATTGAACCAAGAACAGAATGTGTTAGGTGTATGTAAGTGTGTTTCTGTGTGTATTGTACAATTTCAGATACATTTATCAAGCTACATAAGAAGCAGTATACACCTCTGATGAAAATCACTGAGATATTTTGTGGATTTATTGTGGAGATCACATTAGTATTGATCATAGGTAATTCATGAAAATTTGACTTTATTTTGTTGTTTAAATATTTTGCTCAAACTTGTTATGATGTACATTACTTTAATTTTACCAAAATAAAAATTATCACAAATTTGGCACAACACCCATTTTATTTTTTTATATTTCTTAAATTGGAAATCTGGCTGAGTATTCTGACTAGGGCATCACAAGCCTAAATCCGCCAGCCTGGGCTCTATTCTCAAAACTCTGAGGAAGAATCTGTTTCCAGGGTCTTAAATTCTTGGCAGAATCAACTTCCTTCCTACAGTTTCCTCATGTGCTCGCCCATATCCCATCTTCAAACTCAGCAATAGCATGTTACATCCCTCTCATGTTTCAAATCTCTGATATCCTTTTGTACCCCATCTCTTTGCCTTCTCTTCCTACTTGAAAGGCTCTTGTAATATGTTGGGTCTACCAGATAATCAAGGACAATTCACCTATTTTAAGTTCAGCTTATTAGTAACCTCAATTTTAACTGACATATTCATTTACCAGGTACCAAACCTAACCACCTAGGTTATGTTACACTCAAGATTGGAGATTTTCCTATAATATTATGACACCAGTAAATCTGCTGCAATTAAAAATATTATTTTTAAACGATCAATGCATCTAACGCAGTTTATCTCTTGTGATGTTTTCTTATATGAAAGAAGCAAAGAGGAATGTGTCCTTAAAAACTTTAGTTGTCTTATTATGTTTCACTTTTTATGGTAAAGCTTACAAATACAAGCTTCTAAGAGCACATACACGTCAAAAGAAAGTTATATTTTAGAATTACCACAATAAAGAACGATTTTTTTTATCATGTCAGTCTTGAGACATAAAAATTCTTGTGGCACTATAGTTTTTCAGTCTGTAAGTAGGCCTTTCAAAGGGATGGCTGGGCACCTCTTTCTGACACTGAACCCTGGATTCTAGTAAACAGCCTCTCCTGTTAGATCTACTGTATCTGATTCTGTACATGCTAACACAAAAGAAAAGAGAAAATGTTATTGAGTGTTGTTCATCCAAAATTTTACCTGCCCCTCTCTAATATAGATTCAATTCGTGGAGTATTCAGGGGACTATTATATGAGAAAGATTTTTCCCCCTGAACTGAAATTAGAAATTAGGAAATAAAAGCAGTTTATCAAAGAGGTGTCTGCCATCCCACATTCACTGCAACATAGTTTACAATAGTCAAGATTTTGAAACAACCTAGTGTGTATTAAAGGATAAATGGATAAAGGAGATGCGAGATATATATATATATATATATGCACATACATAAACACACACACACATATATATAAAATGGAATATTATTTAGTGTTAAGAAGGAAATTCTGCCACTTGGAACAACATGGATGGACCCTGAGGACATTACATTAACTGAGATAAGTCAGATGGAGAAAGAAAAGACTGTATGATCTCACTTACATGTGGAATCTAAAAAAGCCAAACTCATCAAATCACAGAGTGAAATAGTGGTTACCACAGACATGGGTTTGGAGAAATAAGAGAGATATTGTTTAAGGGCACAAAGTTGCAACTAGGAGACAAAAGATCCTGGAAATCTAATGCACAGCATAGTGAATGTAGACAACAATGCTGTGTTACAGTCATCAAACTTACTAAGAGTCTAGGTATTAATTATTCCAACCATGAAAAAGAAAGAATAATTCGGTGATGTGAAGGAGGTGGTATAGCTACAATGTAATCCTATTACAAGATGTGAAAGAATCAAATCAACATGATGTACCCTTTGAATTTACACCATATTCTATGTCAAATATATTTCAAGAAAAAATTGAAATTGAATTGACTGTTGCAATTTGATCATAAATGATGGAACAGATGAGTGGGGGAATCAATCAGGGACCTCCATTGTGCCCTCTTCCACCTCCATCACCCCTAGACCCACCCATCCTCTCACTCTTCCTCTTTTCCCCTTGCTACATCCTTCATTTGTCCTCCTGTGACTTTAGACATCTACTAAAACTCCACCCACCACCTGACATTCATCCAAACCCTTTGACTTCAATATTGTACTCTCCACTTCTATTTTGAGACATTTCCACCTCCAACCCTCTGTGACTCTTATTCTAGGGACCTCAGTCTAACCTTCTTCAGACTTCGTCACCTCTGCAAAGTCCATTGTCCATGCCCTCCTTCCTCTTGCCTTCTTTCTATGCCCAATTCCAACATCTCATCCTAAGCCCTGTGACTTCTATGCCCATGCACTCTCATTCAACCAAGCCCTCAATTCTCAAGCATCATCAATACCTTCAGGAACTCAACCCACATTCTGTATGCATTACACCCAACTATATAACTACTGGCACTTTCCCATGGGTTCTTTAGCTCATTCAGGCCTCTGTCCTCTCTAGCTGTCTTATTGTCCCCTACCAATTTGGACCTCCTGCTCTTGCACAAGGTTTCCTCTAGTGCCATCTCCTTTTCTCACACTGTCTCCAACTTGGACTGTTATCATATACTAAGATCTGCCTATCCAATCTGAATTCACCTTTTCCCCTGACCATGTTTTTTAAACTCACATTTGCCTTACATTTTCATTCCATTAGCACAATTGTTCCTGTGGCCTTATGCACCCCTTATGTCCCCAGATCCCAATATCCCCTCTACTTTCACCTCCTTGCACACTTTGCCCACTGGCACTTTCATCCCTGGCATTGCACTTTAATACTTAACCAATATTAAAAATCCTTTGCCTTTTCTCTCTCTGTTCACTCTCTTCCCCTGCACTCTGTATAACCCCAAGCCCCCAGGCTCTCTACACCCCCATATTATCCTTACATCTCCTTTGTCTGGTGTCCTATTCTTACTCCACTCTACCATATACCTACACACAGTCACTCCCCCAAACACTCCAAGTTTCCCAGCATGTTCTCAACATAAGAAGACAACGCTCACAGAACATTTGAAGTGATGTGCATTATAATAAACTCCCCTTGTGACTGTTGCAGGTTTAGGAGGGCTACAAAGGGTGGGAAAGCCCCCTTTGCAGGCATCCAGAAGACTGAAGATGCAACTCTTCTGTGTAATATCATGTAATTGGCATATACACCTGCATGATGACTGTGATTTCATGAAAGAGTGTGACTGAGAGTTTAGGCGAGTGTGTGTATTTATAAATGTTTACAAATGTGAGTGTGAGTTTTCATGTATTTAATGTGTTCATGTATTTTCTGAACATGCAATTGAAATTGTGTGAGCATGTGACTGTGTATGTGTACTAGAATGTGACTATGTATGACTGTATGTTTGAGTCCGTGAGTGAGTGCGCATGTATGCGTGTCTTTGCATCTGTGTGTATGTGTGTGTGTGTGTATAGGATAGATTGTCCACTATTATAGCTCTAACAGCTAGATTTACAATTTGGGGTAACAGCATAGTGAACTTGGATCAAAGATATAATTCGTCTGTAAAAAAAACCTAAAGAATTAAATTGAACTCTTAATTTATATTCATTTTTTTCTTGACCCATCAGAAATATATTCCTTAATTAAAAGATTAATCATAATTCCTTACTGAAAATTTTGCATGTAAGTGTAGGGGACAATGTTGACCATTTGATGGTCTTAAATAAAGTAAGTAGCATTGCCTTGCCTGATAGTTACAAGAATGATAGAAGCTACCTGTTAAACCATTTGACCCCAGTGCTTTCTTTGTGAGAGACTGTTTTAGAACCTTCTCTCTTTCCTTTTTTAATAGAGAGAACGTTGGTTTATAACATTATATAAATTTCACATGTACATTATATTTTGACTTCTGTATACACTAAATTGTATTCACCACCAAAAGTCTAGCTTCCATCTGTCACTGCACAAATGTCCCCCTTTACCTCTTTCACTCTACCGCCACTCCGAGTGCCCTCTGTTAACTACCAGTCTGTTCTTTGTATTTATTGTCTTTGTTGTTTTATCTTCTACTTATAAATGAAATAATATGGCATTTGTCTTTGTGTGAAATTTCGTTTAGCATAATACTCTGAAGGTCCATGCATGTAGTTGCAAATGGCAAGATTTCATCTTTTACATGGCTGAGTAGAATTCCATTGTATTCCATCATATATATATATTGCATCTTCTTTATCCAATCATCTGTTGATGGGCACTTCAGTTATTTCCGAGTCTTAGGTATCTGTGTAAATAATACTCCACTGAATATAGCTCCATGTATCTTTTTGAATTAGTGGGGATTTTTTGGATAATGACCCAGAAGTGGAATACCTGGATATAGTCTGATTCTGCTTTCTCTCACTAGTGAGGGTCGAACCTGATAAACTATAGTTTCCCAGCAATTTACATATTAATTGATATTGAGTTGTGCAACTGAGGACTCTGATATCTAATGTACATTATTCTGGTCTTGTTCTTCTTGTTACTTGCATTTCTTTTTAAATCCTCATCAGATATTTTGACATATTTCATTTCTTTTTTCTTAATTTATAGTGTAGCTCCTTTGTATGAAATTTTGAAAGAACTCACTTTTAGGTGGAAATTCTCAGTAAAGTAGAACATCCAGGAGGAAACACATACTTGCTGCCAGTCCTTCATGTGTCAAACCTAAGTGCTTTTTGCTCTCCACCATGTGAACGACTGTTTGTTCCAGGGTTCATGGAAAAGAAAGAGGCTCTCACAAACACGCCTATAGTCTCTTAAGAGATACTAGCTGTAAACATGTAGTTGTTCTTGGTAATTAGTACTTGTGAAAAAGTTTTCCAAAGTATTCTCAGCTCCCAAGCCTGTTACTGCCAATGTCGCTACAGGTGAAGTGATAATTGCAGTTCCGAGGGGAGGTGAGGTCACAGAATCACAGACTCAAATCTCAGGGTCTGGCTACCCCTGTTGCACACACACTGACTGCTTTGACCTCCATGCTAATCCCATCATCCAGGCAGCAGAATAAAGTCTGTGGATTCTCTCTATATTCATCTGAGAGCCAGAATCTGTAAGGGAAGGAGTTATATCAGGAGTCTGGGTAAGTGAACATATGGGACAAAGGGAATCTTCTGTGTATGAACCTGGTTCAGTGCCAAAGCCATGTAGGAAGGTGGAATAAATCCTGAGGCGTGAGTTGAAGTAGTAAACAAAGATGGAGTCCTAGACCTTCCACCAATTCCTGTTGGTTCCTCATGTAGTGTAACACAATCCCCACTGACAGTGATTGTTGTGGCTTAACCCAAGAGGTAATAAAATCTGATTTTTAATACACTTAAGGACTGTAGTTCTGGAGTTAATCTGCTGTTCAGCCTACTTTGCAGGAATCATAGACATAAATTTCAGGTTTCTAGAAGTGCACCCATAATACCTTCACACTTATAATAATAAGAGTAGGATGAACTTACAGGAATAGTCTGATCCTGCGCTGAAAAAGTGTGTATAGAAGCAGCTGCTGGAGTAGGAATGTTTTCTCTAACTCTGGGTGTATGAAATGCTCAATAGATGTAATCATTGTGTCTCTATTGATTACGGAGAGACTGTTCCCACTTAAAGTTAAGGAAAGAGCATGTAAGAAAAATAGACCTTTATGAGTTTCAGACAACATTTTTAGGCTCAAGTGTATCTTGTAAGGTTTCTGCTGCTTTTAAATGTAATAATATCAATTGAAAAAATGTATGTCATCTATAAAATACATAAAATTTTTGCCATGACATTGCATGTTGCATGTGTCTTGTATTTTAATATTTTTCACAAATCTTGCCTTACTGCTAGTAATTTTATTTAACTGAGCCATTAATAAATAGACATGTACATGATCCAAAATTAAGAATAATTTCTTACTACTACAAACTATCATGCATCAGTGTCTCTGTCTTGTTCCTGTGACTCAGGCCATTGTACTTTTGTTCCTGGAATAAAAACAAATGAGTCTTTCTGTTTCTATCCTAATATTTAGACATTCTTGCATTCATTAAAGCAAACTTGTCCTGAGACAGGATCCTGCAGTTTTAGACTGCAACCAGAGCATCTACATTTTATTAAGATCTCTAAAGCTTTTTTCAAAGTTTGTATTTGCTTATAAAATAAATCTTCAAATATAAGTGGAAGCTTGTTATTACCAAATTTTAAAAATAAAACACCACCAATCTAAACTGAAATGACAAGGTGAAAAAACAAAACTAAATTGAGATGTTTTTGAGAAACACAGCTAACTAATATTTTTATATATTGTGGATTAAATGCACTATCTTTGTTACCACCCCAGCCAGGTTCAAATCTTTATTTTGCCCGTAACCAGTGAGTGAACTTAGAGGAAGCAGTTAACCTCTCTGTGCCTGTGTTGTCTTCATCTTTATAAGGAATGGAACAGTACCTGCCTCATGAATTTGTGATGGATAGAGAAGTTACTGCATGTGTGGCCTTCATAGCACTGATTTGTACATTGTAAGTGGTCTTAACGGTTATAAATTCAACTCTGTGATGCCTCTAAAGGACAGAAAAAGTTTAAGTAATTATATCCAAGTAGGAACTGTTGCTAGGCGAATGTTAGATTTCAGTTGACATGGTATGTGTGGTCCATGCCTCTTATTCCCATGCAGGATCCTCTAGCTCAGAAGACAAATATCAGTCGTTGATAAATGACAGAATGGTCGCCAGTGAATGGCAGTAGGAATCATCTTCTCATTACAGACTACATTTGGAATCCTGGGGAATTTCTCTCTTCTTTACCATTATCTTTTCCTGTACCTCACTGGGTGTAGGCTAAGATCCACAGATTTGATTATCAAGAACGTGATTGCAGCCAACTTATTGGTCCTGTTCTCTATGGGAATCCCCCATGCATTGTCATCTTTTGGCTGGTATCAGATCTTCGATTATTTTGGATGCAAAACTTTTTACTATGTTTGTGGAGTGGGCAGGGGTATGTCTATTAGCACCACCTGCCTCTTGAGTGTCTTCCAGGCCATCATGATCAGCCCCAATAACTCTAGGTGGGCAGAGCTTAAAGTGAAAGCTCCAAGGTGCATTGTCCCCTCTATTCTCCTGTGCTGGATCCTGCAGGTGCTGGTAAATGTAGTTTTTCCTATGTTTATGACTAGCAATTGGAGCAACAAAAACATCACAAACCAAAAAGATTTTGGATACTGTTCCGCTGTTCAGCATGACAAAATCAGAGACTTTTTATATGCAGCATTGCTATCATCCCCTGATGTATTCTGTTTGGGGCTCATGCTCTGGTCTAGCAGCTCCATGGTTTTCATACTGTACAGGCACAAGCAGAGGGTCCAACACCTTCGTAGAACCAATGTCTCCTCCAGGTCCTCCCTGGAGTCCAGAGCTACCAAAACCATCCTTCTCCTGGTGAGCACTTTTGTCTATTTTTACACCCTTTCCTTCATCTTTCGAGTGTGTTTGGCTCTTTTTAACAGTCCCAACTGGTTTCTCTTGAACACCAATTCAGGAATCACTCTGTGTTTTCCAACCTTAAGTCCCTTTTTGTTCATGAGCTGTGATTCCAGTGTATCCAAGTTCTGCTTTACCTGGATAAGGAATACAAAATCTCCTAATATTATACGAAACATGTAAATTGTATGTATTTATGCAATGCTCATTTCATAATTTACTCATCCTCCTCAGAGATCCAGGTACAATTGTGAGTGGCTGACCAAAGAATTTAAACAGGACATGCTGTGCATCTTCTCCAAAGTCAACAATAAGTTATAGTAGTATTCATGATGAAATATTATATAATTCTTATGTAGGTACTTATGTGATTCAAGTTTTGCTAATGCTTACTTTGGAGGAGTTCAGAATTTATGCAATAATACACTCCAGGTTGCAAAACAATCTGGATATTATGGAGAAGTTTTTGAATGTGTAACAAATTTATCATAGCAAATTTCCCAGAAATGAACTAGGTATGAAATTTAAGAAGAGGTACATGAAAATGTAACAGCATGTGGCAGATCATTAGGGTAACTGAAGGCAATGGTGTAGAAGGGAAGTTCAGTAACTGAGTAAAGCTTTTGGGAACCAGGTATGAGTTTTGTACATTATATCCTTAAAGAGACAGTAGTCATTTATTTGAAGTATAATGTTATGAAGGGAGATGAGCATATTTAAACATTTTCATGTAGAAATGGCCAGACTGAATTGGACTGGAACAAAAGAGAGCCTAAAATTACTTTTACCTGATTTTTAAACAATATGAAGTGAACGTGACAATTTTGAAAGATGTAAATTGCATGGAATTGGGCTCTGTAGAAGGCAGATTTTTCTCTCTTTCATGAAGATGATTTGGGCATGTTGGCAAGAAAGCAGTTTAGAGCTCCACACTCCTGTCTCTAAAGTAATTAAATGGGCATACTTTAAAATGGGAGCACTGTAGGGGGAGCCATTTGAAAGGGAAAGACATGACTCCATTCTGTTTATGTGGCGTTTGTGGCTCCTTGATTTTCAAGGAGCAAAGTGAATATTTCCTCAATTTTAGGAGAGATTTTTATGTAGTTTTCTCTGTATTTACATTCTGAAGCTTATGCAAAGTATGGAGAATTCAACAATTTGAAAAACAAAAGAATTATTTTGACCTGGTGGATGTATATGTTGAACCTTGTACCACAAAGATCACCCCATATTTTTAGTCACATGAAGCACTTAAATATTTGCCACAGTTCGATCGTGAAGGAAGCAGAAGAAAAAAAATAGATGTATAGACACATACATACTTATGTGTGTGTGATCTGTGCGTATATATATATACACATACATATACATATAAATTCAATCATATTTGTTATCCATCAATCAATATGCTGGGAACTTGTAGGTTGAGAATAATTTAAAATAGTACTAATTACAATAAAGTGTATGTTATCTGATGTGTATATTGCCATTCCAGCTGTTTAATTATTAAAATTCCATAAAGTGTATTTCTCATTTTCCTACTTTGATTCTACTGTTTGACCATATCCCTTGAAAAAACATTCACTGAATGTAAGAAAAAAAAGTTTGGTTTTAAATGGAGTAATTATTCCATTTAAGTTTCATTTAATAATTTCTACATTTGTGTGTTAATAGTTTATTTTCTTATTTTATTCATGTTAGCTTCTTTTCTATTAATTTTTAAATATAATTCTACACCATTTTCTTTAAAAGTTGTATACTCATTATTTGTTAATTTTTACTTAGAAATTTCAGCATACATTTAAAAGCTAAGCAGTGTCATTGTTTTTAATACTATTAATCCCCACCTTGACATTATAAAGACATTAAAAACAGTAATCTGCTAGCCATTTCCCACCTGTTCGATTGGTGATATGTACCTAAAAATTTTACAGACACATACACAGGTCATAAGTGCATAGCTCAATCAAAGTTCGCAAAGAACACATTTCTGTACTCAGAACCTAGATCAATCAAGAGAATACAGTCAGAGCCCCAGAATCCTCTTGTGTCATCTCCATGTCACTACTCTCAGGGCAACCTCTCCTCTGATACTGGACAGCAGAGGTCACTTTAGCATCTTTTGCATTTTATAAAAAGGAAATCACAGAGCAGTAACTCTTTTGTATTTGGCTTTTGTCATTCCTTATGTTTCTGAATTTATTGCTGCATGTTTTTATTGATAATTCATTTGCATTGCTCTGTGAGATTCAATTGTGTCAACATAAAACAATTAATTTAATCATTCCACTGTTAATAGGCATATTGGTGGTTTTCATTTTGGACTAGTAGGGATACTGCTGGTGTGTACACTTAGGGTATGATTTGATGACACACATACCGTTATCTGTTGGCTCTATATATAGTAGTGGAATTATTAGGTGACTGGCCTACATCTCTAGCTTTAGGACTTAGTGCCACATAAGTTTGGAAAACATTTATACCGATTTCCACACCCACCAACAGTGTAGGAGATTCTTGGTTTCTCCACATCCTTCTCAACACTTTTTTTAAAATAATTTTATTGAGATCATAAAGGTTCATAACATTGTGTAATTTCGGATGTACATTATTATTTATCAATTTCTAAACATGCTTCATCGTGCTAATCCCTGGTAGTCTAATTTGTATCCATCACCATACATATGTGCCCTTTTATCCTTTTCACTCGCCTCCCAGCCCCCTTCCTCTCTGGTTACCACTAATCTGTTCTCTTTATCCATGTATTTCTCTTCCACATATGAGTGAAATGATGCAGTATTTGTTTTTCTTTGTCTTGTTTATTTTGCTTAACATCATGCCCTCAAAATCCATCCCTGTTGTTGCAAATGGGATGATTCTGTCTTTTCCAAAATGAAAAGACAACCCACCAACTGGGAGAAAATCTTTGCAAATCATTTATCTGACAAGGGGTTGATCTCCAAAATATCTGAAGAACTCATGCAACTCAACAAAAAAAAATATCAAACAACCCAATAAAATAAATGGGCAGAAGATATGAACAGACATTTTTCCAAAGAAGATATACAGACGGCCAACAGACACATGAAACAATGTTCAACATCACTAATTATTAGGCAAATGCAAATCAAAACTGCAATGAGATATCACCTTACACCAGTCAGAATGGCTATAATAACCAAGACAAAAAACAACAAATGTTGGAGAGGACGTGGAGAAAAGGGAACCCTCATGCATTGCTAGTAGGAATGCAAAGTGGTGCAGCCACTCTGGAAAACAGTATGGAGATTTCTCAAAAAAATTAAAAATAGAAGTACCATACAATCCAGCTGTCCCGTTACTGGGTATTTATCCAAAAAACTTGAAATCAATGATACAAAGAGATTTATGCACACCTATGCTCATTGCAGCATTATTCACAACAGCCAAGATGTGGAAGCAGCCCAAGTGCCCTGCTACAGAGGAATGGACAAAGAAGATGTGGTAGATATATATACATACAATGCAATACTATTCAGCCAGAAAAAAAAATTTTTAATTTTTTTTAATTTTAGATTTCTGGTTGGTGTGTGGTGGTACAAAGCAGTGAGTTAAGTTGCACTTCCTTGATTATTATGGAAGTTGAGCATGTTTTCACATATTTATTAGACACTGAGCAACCTCTTTTTGAAGTATGTGTTAGTTTATTTTGTCCAATTTTTCTATTATGTTGTCATTTTCTTATTTGTAGTAGTTCTCTACATCTGCTAAACATTTCCTTTCTTGGTTCTATTCTTTCTCTCAAGCTGTCTCTCTCTCTGTCTGTTTTTCTGTGTCTGTGTGTCTTCTGATGATGAGAAAGTCTTAATTTTAACATAACTTGACATTTCCTCCTTTATAAATAATGTTTATTATTTTCTTTAAGAAACATTTTTTTTTCTAAGAGTACAGAGATGTCTTTTGTCCTATTCTAAAAAGTTTCTATTGCTTTAAAATTTAGATCAGCAGTCCATCAAGAATGATTTTTTGTATGTGTGGATAGTGAAGATTTTTTTGGTTAAGCTAAATACTTTTAATTCATTCAGAATATATTATTCTTTCAGATATTATTCACATATTACTCTTTCTTTTCATTTACTCTCACCTCTCATTGCTCAACTAGGTTAACAACACCTTCTTTCTGGATTTGTCTTTCCCATGAAGTGTCCTGGTAAATCTGTGTCTCTTCTTGTCTTCTTCAGTCTGACAACCCCACAGCACCACACAACCAATCTCAGTCTTGGTATCAAAAATCTTCAATGGGGGCTGGCCCTATGGCTTGGTGATTAAGCTTGCATGTTCTGCTTTGGCAGCCCAGGATTTGTGGGTCCAGATTCCAGGCATAGACCTACACACCACTCATCAAGCCATGCTGTGGTGCCATCCTACATACAAAACAGAGGAAGATTGGCACAGATGTTAGCTCAGAGACAATCTTCCTCAAGCAAAAAGGAGGAAGATTGGCAATAGACGTTAGCTCAGGGTCAATCTTCCTCACCAAAAGTAAATAAATAAATAAATAAATAAATAAAAATCTCCAATGGATCTTTTTACTCAATCAGTTGTCCTCAAATTTTAAAAGGAAAGGTGCACCATATGAGGAAACAGTTCTCCAGGGGCCTCTCAAATGTTTTTTCACATCTTGTGTCAACTTGTGTTCTGGACCAACTTGCACAGATTTCTGTATGATAGCCTTGGAAGATGGCAGTAGTGTTCATATTGGGAGCAAGGACACCTTAATTACCTGGACCAATATAATAGAGATAATGCCTTCCTCAGAGGCAAAGCTTGGGCTGGTGTACTTATAACCCACTTTAAAAGATTTGGGGTTCTCAAGATTAGTGTTCTCCAGCTGTGATGCAAATTTACTTTGTGTGCCAGCATCCATCTGGCCTCTTTGCTTGGTCCCTGTGGTGCTTGTGAGACCAGTAGGAACATATGTGAACAGGAAGCTCTAGCTGCCTGTTTAGCCATGAATAACAATGTTGTTTGTCTCCATCCCGGAAGTCTCATGTCTTCTAGACCATCCATGAAACGGTAGGCTAGTTTACCAGTTTGCAAGAGGGTAAAATTTTACATGCTTTACATTTCTTGTCAGTCTTGGCCTTGAAGATGGGATAGTGACTGAGCCTTACAACCAATGGCCTTTGTGCACAGTCATAGCATTGGAGGGAAGCTAACTTGATAAGGTAGTTGTGGTCTATCTCAGCTTGTTTGGGCTGCTATAACCAAATTCCACAGGCTGAGTTGTTTTTAAACAATTTGTATCTCTCAGTTCTGGAGGCTTGTAGTCTGAGATCAGGGAGCCAGAATGGTCAGGTAAGGGCCATCTTTTGGGTCGCAGACTTGTTGTATCTTCACAAGGTGGAAGGGGGCAAGGGTGCTCTCTCAGGCTTCTTGCTAAGGGACACCAATTTCATTGATGAAGGCTCTGCCCTCATGATTTAATCACCTTCCGGAAGCTTCACCCCAATACCATCATCTTGAAGGTTAGGTTTCAATATATGAATTTTGTTGGAAAAAACAGACCATGTCAGGACCTTCTGGAAAAATTCAATATCTTGTCATTGTTTCTACATCACAATGTAATGGGAATTGTTGCATTATATGCTGTGCTTCCCCATCCCACATGTGCCAGAAGGGATTATGTCAATCAGGGTGAGGTGCAGGTAGAGAGGTGTTACTGAGATGAACGACACTTTCTCTTGTCACCAGAAAGATAGAGGGTGGGTGAGTGTTTAGGTCAATTGACACTAACCTGTGATATAGAAACTTTTTATGATATAAACGAGGAACTTTTTGTTGGCAGTTTCTCATTAAGATTCTGTATTGATTTTTCAATCATAATGAATAAATAAACAACTGAATATTGTGAAAAAGCCTACAATTTACATATTTCTGGTAAAATTAGGGGATTTTGTGCTCCTACTCTGGGAAAGGAGAGACTGGAAATAGTAGAATCATGGCTCATGAGCAGAAACGGGCTGACAGTAGGAAAGCACATCGAAATTAGGGCATAGGTGTTCACTAACCACCAAGTGAGGTTGTAAAGGAGAGCAATACAAATGAGAAAGATAGAGGAAAGGGCAGAAAATGATACAAAGGTGACTGGGGGAACAAAGATGTTTCAGATGGCTCTGGACTCAGCAGAATATCTAGGGGAAACATTATTCCTGTGAAAATGTTGGACTTGATCTGTGTGCTTGTACAGGATGAAAATCATGGAGCCGCTGGCGCACATTATGAGCAAAGAAAATACCGCTTCAGGGAATACTATGAGTGTTGCATCCAGAACCTGAGATTTTATCATAATCTATAGCAGAACCGTATCCCATATCTCTTTTCTTCATGATGTTTTTGCTACTCAATTTGCCAGAAACATACAACATGTATATGGGAAAAATAAAATTTACAAACATGTAAAGAATCCAACAGAGGGAAATTGAGAAAGCCAATGTGCTTTGGGGATTTGACTTTAAGATCTTTCCAGCTGAAGTTCGTGAG